CAAGCAAAGTCTCTGGACATGACCAAAAGGCAGACAAACATTCTCCATTCCATAGCACAAATTATCCAGAGTACAACAACCAATGCAGTCCTTCTTCTCAGCAGAAAATTTCCTGGCATGTTTTTTAGAGGCAGGATTTTTATCAGATTTCTGGTCTGGAGTCTGACCAGAATCTCACATATAGAACAAGTGAAGCTGTTTCATCGCTTCTCTTGTAGGCAACATCTCCAAAAATTTTCTATCTCTTCCCATAAGTCATTCCCAAAAGCTTGTAATCCACATGGACGTATTTAGCCACAGCAATGACCCCACTTCTCTGGTACCAAATTCTGTCTTGGTTACTCTTTTCTCCTTCCTGTAACAAGTACCTGACACTTAACATGAAGGAAGGAATGTTTTATATAACTCACAGCAACTGGTCATTTCAGTCCATACTCACGTGGCTCCATGGCAGACTGGCACATGTCAGAGTGCAGTAGTACATGGCAGCAGGAAGCAGCAAAACAGCAAGAGCAAATGTGAGGAGTAACAGCAACAATGGCAACAGAGAACAAGTCTGTCTCTATTATACTGCATTCAGGTTATCTGCTCCTGGCTGGATATAGTACTCACACTCAAAAATCCAGCAGCATTTATACCCATAATTTCAGTGCATGATGAGTTAATCACAAACTGTAGAAGTCTGGCCATGCCTGCATGAGGTTTTACAGGGACAACTAGACAAACTCAACATGTCTCCGTATAATTCTCTCATTTTGGTCTGTGCAGAAGAAGAAAGGAATGTCTTGGAAAATGAGGGTAGATTACTGTAAACTGCATCAGATGGTGACTCCAATTGCAGCTGCTCTGTCAATTGTGCCTTCCTTGCAAGAGCAGATTAACAGATCAGGCAGCATACTCACTTGTGCATACCAAGGGTGGGAGAGGCTTTTTCCCCACCCACCTGCCCTTAGGCAGAGGAAGGATAATAGTAAGGGCAGAATTCACCAGATCTTTGTGCTTGGAGTCATCAATATTGGACCCTGGGGTATGCCTGTGTCACTGATAAGTACTTCAAATTGCTTTGCCAAACAGGAATTTCAGTGGTCCTACAGAGTTAATATCTGTCCTATTTCAGCCTGTGTCTGGCATCCTGGGCTTACTTGAGCTCCCCCTGTATTTATTGCCCCCCACTATTCATAGAGCTGTAAGAGATGAGCTGATATCCAACATTTGTGCTGGCAGCCTGGGTCTCCACAGCGGAGCCCTAGGCCTTCCTGAATGACTGCTTGGAGCTCCAGATTGGCTGTATACCTCATTCAGTGACAGAAGCCCCACCCTAACTCTGAACAAATTAAAGTCTCTGTCTTGTACCTAGCCACAGTCCTGAGACTCAACATAGCACATTATGCAAGTGGTCAGTTTTGATCTCAGCATCTGTGAAAAGTTCACCTGATTTTATAGTGCTCTGGACCTGTGGAGACCACAGCTTGTGTCTGGTGTACTTTATGGCCCTGCCAGAATCTTATTATATCATTCTCAGGCACACCAAGGTCTGTACTGAGCATGGTACAAGCCTTCTTCTGGTGTTTTAAACTGGATCCACAAATACATGAATAACATTTGCCATACTACATGTATCTCCAACCAGTCAAAATCCATACCAGGTACCATTAGCCCATTCAAGTAGTCACACAGATTCTAATATCAATACTTCTCATTTGCATATGTTTTGAGTTTGACAGACAGAGGACCCCTCATTCACAGAAATCACTGCACCATGCACAGGTTATAAGGAGGGGAAAAAGGCAACTTGACTTCTTAGATTAAAGATTCTAGAAGGCTCTGAAGAAAAAACACACCTCTCCTGGAAGCCTATACAACTTCTTGATTTTTATTTCTCCCTATTTGATCTGATTTGTCTGCACTATTGGTATTATTTTAAAATTCTGTTTCAATATTTTTGTGTATTTTAGGGAAGGATCTACAGGATGTTCAGGGTCTCACTACTAGATCAGACTCTTAGTGATTCTCCTATTTTCAGCCTCCCAAGTGCTGGGATTACAGATGTGCACCACCATGCCCAGTCTTAATGGCCATCTCAGTACACCCTGTAGGAGGAGCCAGCCCGACACATGGGGGATTGAACCCCAGCCGCTGCTCTTCACCTAAGACTTCACTGTTGTCTGTTGAGCTATCAGGCTGGGCTTCAATTTCAGTGAAGATTAGAGTGTTATCACCAATTTTGATGTTGCTCTTTAAAAAATATCACTTTAAAAAAATGTGAATAGGTCCTCCTTCGGTCTTTTTTTCCTGTTTCTTCCTCAACTTGTTTCCTTAGTATTATCTAATTCTAGTATTTTTTAACTTCTTAATAGGATCTTCTGTTCTAATTTTGCCACCTTTTCATCTTCATATTTTGTGATGAACACAAATATGGGCATATCCCCTGCAAGAAAATGAAACAGACAACTTCCTTGCTCTGACACATGGTTTTGGCCACTTCTAGTCAAAGTCACAGCTGTGGCAGAGCTGGGTTCAAGTGTCGCAAAGATTTTTGTGTGCTTTTTAGTGTATACAGTACTATACAGCATTATTCAATCAACCAATGGCTCCAAAGAAAGTGCAGCATGAGGATGGTGGTAAAGTGGAAATGTAGAGTAGTGATGAAGGTAAGCAAAATGTGCAGAGCAATAGCGAATATAAGAAAAACGTGCATATAAATAATGAAGTTAATAAGAGAATGCAAAATAAGAATTGTGAGAATGTTTTGAAGAAAACAACCTCTGAAATGAAGAAGTAAATTGTAGAAAAATATAAGTATGGTGTTTATGTGACTGATCTGGCCTTAAGAGTACAAGATAGCAAAGTTGACAATCTCAACTCTTTTGAAGAATGAAAACACTGTCAATGAAACTGATGTGGCAAAAGGTGTAACGATGTCAACCAAGCAAGGACGCAAATGGTAGAAGACATGGAAAACTTGTGTTGCTGTGGTTGAAAGTGTGTTATGATTTGTGTTTACATGTCCCCCAAATCCTCATGTAGTCACAGTAAGTAGGAATTCCTGAGGTGACTGAATCTAGATTTTGAGACTGATTCACATTACATAAAATATTTTTTTTGGTGGAACCATGGATTGAACTCAGACCCTTGCACTTGCCTGGCAAGAAAATAAAAAAAAAATTAAAATACACATTACACTGCTGTAATTAAGTGTATGCATACTACACCTGCTCTAGGGTCAGTAGCTTGAATACAATATAAGGGACTGAAAGAGGTTTCTTTCTTTGCTCCTTCGCTGTCATTGTTTTGATGTATTCTACTGCTATGAACACTTGCCTCTCTATCTTGAAGTCAGCAGATTATGAAGAGAAAGCTCTAGCAACTGTGATCTAAATAAAACTTTCTTCCTTTAACTTTGGGTGTCAAGTATTTTGGCTCAGGTATTAGAAAAGTAACTAAGAAAATAAAAGAAGCCACCATCTGTGAAAAAGCCAGGAAATTGCAGTGTTTTGTTACAATAAAATACCACTATGAGTGCAATGTGATGAATTTAAAGCCAGTAGATGTTGACTTGAGAAAGTCCATGAAATAAGTGGCCTCCCCAGTGTGATAATATATGACTCATCTTCCAGTTCTGAAAAAGCTACTTCAGAATCCTATGAGAAAGAATTCACGGAATTCATGAAGACAGAAGACTACATTGATCAACAAGTGTTCAATTATGATTATATAGGGCTCTTCTCGAAGTAGATACCAGAAAAACTTACATCATGTAAAAGGAAAAGATAATTCTGAGACACAATTTCATTAAGCATAGAGTGACCACTTCACTGTATGTGAATGTGTATGCTGATCTGAAGTCAGACACATCACTACTGGAGTACCATTTTCAGACACCTCATGCATTCAAGTTCTAGAATATGAACAAGGTCCAACAACTTCTCATGTGAAAGGTCATTGTGAAAGCTTGGATGACAAGGTAATTTCTCATGGAATGGATGCATGAGGTGTTCACATCCATGACTAAGAAACATTTTGACAACAAGCTACCTGAAAGATGTCTTCTTCAGATACACTATACCTGTCATATACTCCAGCCTTTGTGGATGATTTGATTACATTACAGCTTCATAAAAACCAAGTTGCTCCCCTTCAAAACAACACCAACTCTGCAGTTCATAGGCCAGCATTTGATCTGCAACCTCAAGATGTTTTATGCAAAGGTGCTTTATACTAAGTGTTTTACTCTTACTGAAGAGATGCTCTTGACCCTGAAAGCATTCTGGAAGAATCACTTCAATGTCTTCCTGTGCATGAACTTAACTGACAAAACCTGGAATGTTCCAAACTGCAGGACAGCTCAGCCTAAAGAAAACTGACCAGAATGTATCACTAAACATAAAATTGAAAGGTCTAAAGTAGAAGTAATTGAAGGTGACAACTGTCCAGGTTTTGTTGATGAGGTTGATACAGTGGAGAATATTGAAATGAATCTTACAAAATTCTTCCTTTGATATTATTTTAGTTTAAACACACATAAGGTCCAGTTTGGATTCACATAAATTTTATTAAATCTTATAGAGAAATGTCTTTCATGACCAATTTTGTTTGTGACCAGAATCATGAACTGAGTTACTATAGCATAAGAATTAACCTATATGGATTTGCAGATACTTTTACTTTTTGGTGGAAGTGGAGATTGAACTCAGGTCCTTGTGCTTGCCAGGGAAGCTCTTATTCTACTGAGCCCTCTCCCCGGCCCTGGATTTGTAGATACTTACCAGTATCTTTCTACAGTTCAAGAATGCTCTATTATAAGTGGATAAAAATTACTTTGTTGAGTAGGAATTTATTCATATTAATTTCTAGTTTGTTCTAGAGTCTTTTTTGTATAGCTAAATGTGCTGTGATATTAGTTCTTTGCATTTGTCTGCAGACCAAAAATTAGAGAAAAAGAAGAGCTACATTTTGGTCCTAGCCATTCAAGGTCAGTGAGGACTCAGGACATAAGAAAACCTGTACTGTAACATCCTATACCTTAGTGGTGTCCAAAATTTTGTGATCAAGGAGATCATGGGGTTACAGAGAAAAGTGATAGATGATGTATAATACACCTAAGGAGAGTCACCTAGAGAGAAAACATTCTCTCAGGCTTTCACAGAGATCACATTGCTCAACCAATGGCTGTGACTCATCCACATGGCTGACACTGACAAAGGATCTAAAAACTGTGGTACAGGGTTTCAGAGTAAATCCTGAGGGGATTTGACTGACCTTGTCAGATACAAAAATTGCATTTGTCATCCAGCTTAAATTGAACTTTGTTTTTGCTGATTTACTCCTTTAACAAAGCAGACATAGTTGTTGTTATCAGTTGTTTTTTAATATATACAAATATCTAGATTGCCTGGAGGTCATATACAATATAGTGGTCCATTTCTAAAGACACAGGTATTGATTGGGGTAAATACCTTGAAATCTACACTCCCTAGTAAAAAGATGGTTTCAGCCAGGTACAAACCTAAAGTCTAATAGCTAGCGACACCTACTGGACATAAGTGAAAAGGAGACATCATTTAGTGATGTTTATAGTCTAACAATAAAGACTCACTATAAGCAAACTGCAAGCCTCAGAACAGACACAAAAACAAGAGTGAAAATAAAACACAGAAGAAACATGTGACCAAAAGCTTTGAACTCTTCCAAAGCAAATGCAGGGGCATTGGATGCAATTAAATCAGAATCCAAGCAGGCAAAACACCTGAAATGGTAGCAGTGCAGGTAACACAAATAATTATTTCGGTGAATGAAATGTGTGGAAAAAGAGATAGTGAGCCTAATAAAACAAATATTATCAAGTCTAGAAAAGATATTAATAAAAAACAAAAGGAACTAAAGAAAGAAATCCAATCTATGAAGATCCACTACAGATTCCATAAGTGTTCCAAACAAATTCAGGAGATTAAAATTGTTGAAAGTGTAGGCAGAAGAAATGGCCAGTTTGAGATTAGATTGTCAAACCTAGAAGACAAGGATGTGGTTGGCGACAAACTAATGAGAAATACCTTAAAATTAACATGAAGCATGAAAGATGAGTCCATGAGCTGCTAGAAATTAAAAAGTAAAAATCAAGAGTGAATAAACCTCAGATGATAGCACAAATGCTATTATATATGTTTGCAGAAGTAAAAGAAGAAAACCTTCCAAGCATGGGAAGAGAATTTCACACACCAAAAGTGAGGAGTATGGAACAACAAGTAGCCATGATCAGAAAAGAACTACACTAAGATGTCAAAGTTAATGTTCCAGAAATTCAACAAAAGAACACAAACTTAAAGGTGTTAGAAAGCAAGAAAAATCATCTGCATTCCAAAATCTCTTAGAATTAAAGCAGAATTCTCAACACAAACCTTAATGTAAAATAAGGCTTGGTGTGCTGTTTCAGTTTCTAAAAGAAAAAATGTCCAATGTGGATTATTGTATCTTTCAAAATTACTTTTCATTAGAGTGATGCTAATGTTTTCAATTAACAGATTGCTCCTAGAGAGAGTTGATAAATTGGGTCTGAGTGAAGAAGAAAAAAAGCACAAAAAGAAAAAAAAAGAAAAGCAAAAGAAAATGGAAAAAAGAAAAAGAAACAAAGTCATCTTTCAAATTGATGGAAATATAAGATAATTTCATGATAAGCAACACCTAAAGAATTTTATTACCATGAACGCAGTACTGCAAAAAGTTCTTGTTGATATTCTAGAAAGAGATAATAAAGCAAACAAGGCCTAAAAGTACAATGGAATAAATCCACCTTGTGCAGTGAGAAGTTTTAAAAGGGGAAAGAAAGGGAATCAATAGCAGGAAAATAATATACCAAGAAGGATAAGTCATTATCTATAAGGTAAAACCATCATTGTGAATGATCACAAATCACCAATCAAAATAAACATTAGTAGATGAAATTGAGAAGCAAGATACAACTATATGTTTCAAGTGGAAACACACTTAGCCAAAAAGGAAATTCATAGACTCATACTCAAAGGGTGGAAAACAACATTTTGTGGAATAAGAATTGAGAAAAAAACAGGACTAATTATTCTAATAGCAGAAAAGTGGATTTCACATCAAACTAGTCAGAAGAGACAAAAAGATAATGACACACTGGTGAATGAACAATTCAATAAGAAGACAACAAGCATAACTGTATATGCACCAAATACCAGCACATTTAACTTCATAAAAGAAACAATAATAGATATGAAAAATCAAACAAGCACAAGAATAATCAAAATGGGGAACTGAAGTATTCCAGGGTCACAAAATAAACAAATCAACAAAATAAAAATTAATAAATAAATATCAGAGTGGAATCAAAACATTGGGTCAAAAGGCTTAATAGATATTTACAGTGCTTCCCACCAACAACCTAGAACACACATGATTCTCAGGAGAACATAAGACTTCAAAATAGAGCCCATAATAGCCCAATGAGACTACTTAAGTAAATGCAAAGTGACTGAAATCATCCCATTTATATCATTAGATTATCTTTGAACAAAACTAGAAATCAACAGCAAAAGACATCAAAGAAAATACAGAAACACATGAAAATCAAAGAATACCCACTTAGTGATGAATAGATCACCAAGAAATTAAAACATAAATTAGATATTTCCTACAATCAAATAACAACAGTGCAAGAGGGATATATCAGAATCTACGGGATACAATAAAAGCAGTCCTTGGAAATCCCATTCAAGCCAGCTATCCCCCTACTGGGAATTTTCTTGGAGGAACTGAAAAACATCATATCATAGTAATATATGTGTACCTATGTTTATAGCAGCACAATTTGTAATAGCCAAATCTTGGACACAAACAAGATGCCCGTCACCTGAAGAATGGATGAAAAAGATGTGATATTTTTATACAATGGAGTATTATTCAGCTATAAAGAATGATAAACTTGAAGCATTGGTATTTAAGTGGATTTCCACTTGAAGATATACTCATAAGTAAAATAAACCAGACTCACACATGTAAATAACATATAGTCTCCCTAGTACAAGAACTCAAAAGAAGAAATACAAATAGAAAGGTATAACACAATTAAAAGGAAAGTGAGGGCTACCCTGCGCCAGCGGGACCGACTCCAGGTACCAGCCAAGGCGCAGCGTGGGTGAGACCGTCTTCCACCCCCTTGGGACGCCCCCCACCACTCCGCAGCACCTCCCCCACCCGCCCCACGAGTAGGAATTTCTGCCACGTTCTGAGAACTCCCAGACGCAATCCTAGCCCAGACCCAGTGAGTGTGTGGGAGAGCTTCCTCTCTCCCCTATTCCACCTTGTCCTTTCCAGGCTCAGCTCAGGCCTGGCATACAGGACAGGGGTGTAACCCTGCAGCTGCAATCCCTACAGAGAGGGTAGAGGATAGAATCACCCAGCTAGTCCAGCAGCAGAACATCTTGCCACAGGGGCACAACGGGTTCACCCTCAAGGGCAGCAGTGGGAAGGAGCTGAGCACAGCAGCCAGACCTAAGCCAGGCACAGCTGGATAAATCCAGACTTTGTAGATCTGCACCTGAACTTCAGTACATGCTAAGGTTATAACTACAACGAAGATCTACAACAAAGGTCAGAAGACAGTGCTACACAAAATGACTTTGTAGATGATGAGAAGGAACAAAAAGCAACCTCAGAACTCAACCCCACCCGTAAAAAGTGCAGAGCACACTAACACAGAACGAATTGGGAATCACACAGCTGAAAGCAATGAATCAACAGCTTCTGAAATAAAGAAACAGCTGCAGAAAGTTATAGAGGAACTCAGATTGGAAATAAGAAAAGAAATCCCTGAATTTAGTGTTCCACCCAAACACAGCTAAATACACATTTTTCTCAGCTGCACATAGGTCATTTTCTAAAATAGAACACATACAGATCCATAGGTCATGCTTAAGTATATGCAAACAAAAACAGAAATTATCCCATGCACATTATCTGACCACAGTGCAATAAAACTTGAAATAAATGACAAAAGAAACCAGAAAAACAACCTTAAATACATGGAAATTTAATGACATCCTACTCAGCAATCAATGGGTCACAGATGAAATTAAACAAGAAATTCAACAATATGTACAATTCAATGAAAATTCAAGCACAACTTAAAGTAATTTATGGGACATGAAGAAAGCAGTTCTCAGAGGGAAATTCATAGCTGTGAACTCACAAATTAGGAAAACAGAACGGGAACAAATAACTACCCTAATGCTGCACCTTCAACAACTAGAAAAGGAAGAGCAAACCAAACCCAGAGCCCAAAGACGGGAGGAAATCATAAAGATTAGAGGAGAAATTAATGATGCATTGATGCAGAAAAGGCTTTTGAAAAAGTCCAACACTGATTCATGTTCAAAGTCCTACAGAAAATTGGAATAGATGGCCTCTACTTCAATCTGGTAAAAGCCACTTATGAAAAATCAACAACTACCATAATCCTACATGGGGAAAAACTGAAATCTTTTACTCTTAGATCTGGTACAAGACAAGTATGTCCTCTATCACCACTCCTATTCAATATAGTTCTGGAATCATTAGCTACAGCCATTAGACAAGAGAAAGAAAAAAGAGGAATAAGAATAGGCAAAGAAGAAGTTAAATTATCTTTATTTGCAGATGACATGATACTTTACTTGGAAGACCCAAAAATCTCCACCAAGAAACTACTAGAATTAATACAGAAATTGAGTAGCATAGCAGGTTATAAAGTCAATACCCAAAAGTCAATAGCATTCCTCTACACAGTCAACAAACACACTAAGAGGGAAATTAGAGAAACAATACCTTTCACAATAGCACTGAGGAAAACGAAATACCTTGGAATTAATCTAACTAAAGAAGACAAAGTTCTTCTCAAGGAAAATTGCAGTACTCTGAAAAAAGTGATCAAAGAGGATTTCAGAAAATGAAAAGATATTCCATGCTCCTGTATAGGAAGAACCAACACTGTGAAGATGGCCATACTCCCAAAATTGTTGTACAGATTTAATGCAATCCCTATCAGACTACAACCGACAAACCTTGCAGACATAGAGAAATCATTCCTAAAATATATCTGGAACTGGAGAAGACCTAGAATAGCAAAGGGAAATCTGGGCAATAAAGACAAGGCAGGAGGCATTACAATTCCTGACTTGAAATTATACTACAAAGCTACTGTGATAGAATTAGGATGGTTCGGGCATCAAAATAGACCTGAGGATTAATGGAATAAATTAGAAGACGCTGAAGCCCCTACGAACACACTCAGCCACCTTATCTTTGACAAAGGGCCAAACATACTCAGTGGAAGAAAGATAGCCTCTTTAACAAATGGTGCTGGAAAAATTGGCTCTCTACATGCCGAGAATTCAAGCTTGACCCAGGTCTGTCTCCATGCAGCAAACTAATGTCAAAATGGATTAAAGATCTAAACATTAAATCAGAGACACTAAATCTCCTGGAAGAAAAAGTAGGAAGAACTCTTCAAGACATAGGGGTAGGCAGTGTTCATGGACAGAAATCAAACCACACGGGAAACAGTTGAAAGAATTAACAACTGGGACCTGCTCTTACTGAGAAGTTTTTTCATGTCAAAAGAAATTACCAGCAAAGTGAAAAGGAAACCAACAAATTTGGAAAAAATCATGACAAATAAGTACTCAGATAAAGGTCTGCTCTCTAGAATCTATAAAAAACTAAAAAACACTAGGACCCCAAAATTTAAAACCCAATCCAGAAATGGGCATCCAAGATGAACACACACTTCTCAGAGGAAGAAATTAAAGCAGTGAATAAATATAATAAAAAATGCTCCACATCACCAGCCATTCGTGAAATGCAAATCAAAACCATATTGAGGTATCATCTCACCCCAGAAAGAATGGCTATCATAAAGAAATCACCCAACAACAAATATTGGAGAGGCTGTGGGGAAAAAGGAACCCTTCTCCACTGCTGGTGGGAGTGTAGACTGGTGCAACCATTATGGAAATC